ATAATCTAGTCATATGTTTATTGCTTTTTCATATACTTTTGTAGGATTAATAGTTGTTTTGGAGATTATGGCACTAATAGCCGTTTTGCAGATCTTAATCTTGAGAAAGAAGTTTGTGTTTGTTGGCTGTAATGGGTTGGGGTAATTAGGTTTTTATTTGTTAGGTGTGTTTTGTCACGGCATTGCCAAAGGGGGAGATTGTTAGGTTTTTATTCTTGGCAATCCCATTTGACAAAACTCATTTCAGTTGTACTTATTTTTGCACTTTTTATTTTCGTGAGGTTATGAGTTTTTAGATGTGAATCCAACCCGAATTGTGCCGTGCAGAGAAGTTTGTGATGTTAATACTTTCAAGATTGCCACTTCGTTGACTATGACGGGGATCGAGCTGCCCGGTCAGCTCGCGGGGGTCCAGGCGACAGCGCTCCTTGGCGGGTTCGGGGCAGCGCCCAGGCGGGGTCGAGTGGTAGCGCCCCCGAAGCAAAATGCAAAATTGCTTTCGAAGTTTCCTGTCCACCCTTGCTCGCTCGAGCGAAGGCTGCGTCTGTAAAAAACCTGAGAATGATGAATGTACGCTTGAGCAAAGGTGTTATGGCTCGAGCGAAGCCACTTGTGGAAAAACACGCGAGATTAGTTCCTCGCTCGAGTGAGAGAGTCTTCACTCAAGCGAGTTTCGCAGTCCCAGATTTCTATAAGTACGTGTTTATGTCAAATTTTAAGATTACTGCTCCAGATCTTCTTTTTTGACATTAAGGTTTATATTTGAGGATATTTTGCTAGTTTTCTTTAATTTTAAGATTACTCCTCATCCTGAGAAGGATGAATGTACGCTTGAGCAAAGGTGTTATGGCTCGAGCGAAGCCACTTGTGGAAAAAACACGCGAGATTAGTTCCTCGCTCGAGTGAGAGAGTCTTTGCTCGAGCGAGTTTCGCAGTCCCAGATTTCTATAAGTACGTGTTTATGTCAAATTTTAAGATTACTGCTCCAGATCTTCTTTTTTGACATCAAGGTTTATATTTGAGGATATTTTGCTAGTTTTCTTTGATGTTTAATTGAGTATTCAACTCATAGGTTAAGAAGAATATATCAAAGGTTCATTTGTTCATTCTATACAAAAGAGAGAGTTGTTCTTCAGTGGATTTTGAAGAATTTGAGCCTGAAGCTTTAGTGGATTCTGGAGTGACTCATCGTTAAGATAATTCCGAGGTGAAGATGGGATTGGAAGAGACACATAGGGGTTGGTTCAATTTAAGCGTGGATTCGCTAGGTAATTGAGAGTATACTTGTGTAATTCCTTTATGTCTTTTGAGTGGATTGTTTTGTGGCTTTTGCCCGTGGTTTTTTTTTTATCACAATTGGAGGTGTCCAATTGTGGTTTTTCATGTAAAATTGTTGTGTCGATTTGTCTTAATTGTTTGATTGAGATTGTTGTTTACTGCTTAAAATTGATACATAATTACAAATCAGCATCTAGGGGATTTCTAGATTTCTCACACAGAGAACACAATATTTACGTGGTTTGGCCCAATGCCTATGTCCACGGCGTAGCAATGAGAATTTTCGCTAAACAGAAGAGGAGGAGTATCTCACTCTCTCTACTCAACTTAGAGCTCTCATACACTTTTCATAACTCTCTCTTTTTTTAATATGCTTACCCTCTCCATCCCGTCTCTATTTATATACAAAGACAGTGAGGGAGAGGGAGGCAAATCCCATCCAAAATTTCTACCTTCTTTAATGGTTAATGGTGAGAATCAACAAAAGCAATAACGTGAAGAGAAGGGAGAGTTTTCCAGATACCTAGCTCAAACTTTCGCTTGTGCTGGAAGTCTTCCTACGCCATGCATGTGGGTTGGAGCAACAATTTTTTTTTCTCAAATCCTGAATTAAGGACAAGAAGATGGTAAAGCAAAGAGCAATAGGGAAACTAACAAAAATTGACATATGCAGAATATTTAGACTCAATATCAAGTGGTTGCATGTCCTATCATGATGGGGATGTGAAACTACGAATTGTGGTTTTGTAGATTATTGTTCTCTTATAGGATTGCTTGTCCATGGAAAAGTCGTCAAATATGTGCTATTAAATGTGTCCAAACAGGACGCTTCTGATGCCTACTAAGTAGGGGTGAGCAGCGGATATACCGATCCGCCAAAACCGACTAAGCGGAACCGATCCGCCGTATTTTGGACGGATGCATGATGATGAGCAGACGGTTGCGGATTGATTTTCTCCAATCCGTCATCCGTCCGCCAGATAACGGATTTAAGATTCCTTTGGCCGCAACCGAACCGCCAAACCGCGAACACCCCTAGTAATTTATAAGACTTTGTGTTTTCAGTTTGCTTAAATATTCTGTTTGTGTTTTCAATTAAAAAAGAGTTTAAATATTCTGTTGAAAAAAAGTTTTCAACTTGAATATCTTTTTTGAATTGAAAAAAATAAACGTATTATTTATCTATATCTTTTGATTTTTAAATCTATCTCTAAAAATAATAAATAAAAAATATGATATATGCTGGTTGGTTTTTGTTTTCAAAAACAGATATAGAGTAACAATATAGAGACATACAATCTCTACCAATATTTTGTTTATGATTTTGGTGGTTTGAATTGCTTTTATATTTTAAGAACCACAGATTGTAATACTTTATATAAATGAGGTATGCTGTGATGGAAGTATGTTGATGAGACATGCAGTGATTGTGATATTCTAGAGTTTCAAACTTTCTGGCTTTGAATAAGGCATGTCGTGATTGTAATATTTTTTTAAGTCATTAACTGTAATATATATATATATTTTTTTTGAGGAAGTGCACAAGTTGAATTATGTTGAAAATTTATAAAATTTTAAACAGCTAAACCGATTCGCATCCATCCGCCAATCCGCTCAATCCACATCCGCCGAATTGGCGAATAGATGCGGATTGATTTTGTCCAATCTGCCAATCTGACGGATGGATGTCGGATTGGAGATTCCGTGACCGCAATCGATCTACGCCCACCCTACTACTAAGAAAGCCACCTCCACACTTATATTATTATTTTTTAATTAATTAATTAATTTATTTATAAATCAACAAAAAGAAATTTTATTGATGAAGATATCGACATACAATGATACACAATAATAAAGAGAGACAAGTGCAAAGAATATCCCAGCAAGACTTAAACAATCCCATCTAAATTGGTAAAGTCTAAGCATCTATAAGTATCACACTTCAATTCAAAGATACACATTACTTTTGAATTATGATTTTCTATAATAATTTTTAGAATAAAGCTTCCGACCCCCAGTGGAGGTGCTGGGGTCCGTGCGTCGCCCACTGATTGGCCAAAAAAAATTTTTTTTTTTTTTGTGTTTTAGCGAATGGCGCAGCGCCACGTCATTGAGGTGCGACCCCCACTGCGGTGTGAAGCACGGCTCTAATTTTTAATATAATAATATTATAATGGTAGTTAAATACCTCAATCAGTTGTGCTTTGGAGTTTAAACTAATTCTAAATTACCATCCACTGTGTTTTTGATAATTTCCAATCCGATGCTTTCACATGCTATAGTTGGCCTAGTGAATAGTCCTTGAGGCTTCGACTCAAATGATTTTGTTCAATCCCAACTTCCCCTTTCCGTTTCTTTCTCTTTTTTGATTGCGTTGACGAGTTGTTCGAGCAATTGGACCAACAAAAACTCAAGATAAAAGCTAATTAATATCCAATATTAAATTGGTAATCTCTCTCTTTTTCGATTGTGTTGACGAGTTGTTAGAGCAATTGGACCAACAAAAACTCAAGATAAATGTTAAATTTGTAATCTTTGCCTAACGAGGTCAAATTTCAACAATTTCATTCAAATTTAAAATGTTTAATCAGAGACAACGAGTTAAACAATTAAAATTCAAATTTCAACAATTTTATTAAATTTATTAAGTTTAACAAGAGACAACAAGCTAAACAATCAAAATTCAAATTTCAATAATTTCATCAAATTTAATTAAGTTAACAAGAGACAACAAGCCAAACAATTAAGTTTGATGGATATGTAAGGAATACAATTTAGCAGAGTAGATATATTAATGCCATGTTATTATTAATATATACAAGTAATTTTATTTATTTTTTGCTTTCCATCAACAAATGACTAGTATAAATTTAAGTCTTGTTTGATATTTAGTTAAAATAGTTAAAAAATTAAAAAGTCACATAAATTGTCATATCACTCTTTCTACTTTTGTATACGTTTTTTCATAAAAAATAAAAAGATAACTAAAATAATTAATTTGAGACCTTAATATAATTAATTGCCATGCTCTTATTAATACGTATTTCCGATACAAATTCAGTGTTTCGTGTAATTTATTATTATTATTATAAATTTTTTGATAATTAGATCATGGAACTATAACATGAGCATGAGGGAACAACATTGATTAGTCTTCATTAATTTTCCACACGCTTCTCTTTTAATTCAAAAGTAGCTTATCAACCGTGCTATATACAGGATAAATATATATATTTATATTTATTTTAAATTTTTTTTAACATATAAATTATGTTTTTTAAGTTTTTTTTATAAAAATAATTTAACAATCTTATTACTAATGATAGTGTATGAGAGAAATTGAAAAGGGTACTGCAGTAACTATACACGGATTGTATCTATAATTATTTGTATGAAGAGATTTTAATTGATAAGGAATTTTGACCAAATCAATAAATACAGACATATAAAAAGACATGTGGATTGAAGAAAGTTAATAAATACTGATCAGAAAATTTTAACTAAATCAATAAATGCTGAGTTTTTGTTTTTAATAAGAAATTTAGAAAATTCAGATTGAGATATTAAAACTCCAAAGATTAAAAACCCCCATTTACTTAATATGTAGTATAGATTTTCTATAATTAAATTCGATACCCGATCCAGATCCAGATCAGAAACGGGGTTGCTTAGCTGGTTCCACTTTATCTATAAATAGAAGGTAAAAACAGAGTTAATGCTTACAAGCATCAAACACCATTCCAAAGCAAACACAAAACCCAATCTCATCAACAGATTCTGTTTTTGTTTCTCTCTTTTTCTAAACCATTTTTTTTTTTTTTTTTTAAGTTTCAACAATTCACGCGCAAAAGCAAAGCTTGATTCTGTTCGTCTGATAAAAGGGTCAGGAATTAGTTCAAGAAGAAAGTAGAGAGAGAAAATGGGGAAAGACAGGAAAGTAGGGGTGGCGATGGATTTCTCGAAGAGCAGCAAGATGGCTCTGCAATGGGCGATTGATAATTTGGCTGACAAAGGTGATACTCTCTACATCGTACATATCAGCACTCACTCTCTCGACGAGTCTCGAACCCTTCTCTGGTCTAAGTCTGGTTCTCGTAAGTACTTTTTCACTCACTCTTTCATCGTCATTTTTATATCGATTTTTGCTCGATCTGAATCTCTGATATGATTTGATTGAAAACTGATCTGGGTTTTTGTTTTTGTGTTTGTTAGCTTTGATTCCATTGTCGGAGTTTCGTGAACCAGAGATTATGAACAAGTACCAAGTCAAAACTGACATGGAAGTTCTTGACATGCTCGACACTGCTTCTAGACAAAAAGAGGTTCTTTCCTCACTAATTTATAATAAATAAATAAATGATCCTCACTTACCTAAGGTTTTAAATTGTGGTATCAAATTTAATTGAATTTAAATTGATCACGGTATAACATAGTGTAATAATAATAATAAAAAAGTATCAATCTATAAATTTCATGAATCTTTTTTCTATAATTATCATCTGCCAAAAAGAAATTTATGAATCAACTATGAGTAACTATGAGTAATGCTAGGCAAGAAATATCAGAAAAAGTTATATGAAATTTTTAATTCATTGAATTACACATATAATAAACGCCACAAAATAATCAAAGATGAAAAATCTTCTTTAAACTTTTAATTATGGATAGTTTTGAAAAAATAGTTAAAAACTGGTTTTTTAATTTTTTTTAACTGTGTTTTTTTAAAAAAAAAAACGTATAAAATATGAGAGATGATATGATTCAAAATAGGTTAAAAGTTAGAAGATGACTTGTAAGTTGTAATCATCTTATATTTCTTTCATAAAATTTAGGGCTGAGCAAGGAATCTGTGAAATCCGTAATCCGATCCAGTCCAGTCCAGTCCAATCCAATAGGTTTGGATTAATTTTTTGAATCCGTAGTTCGGTTCCGGATTGAAAAATTAAAAATCCGTAGTTCACGGATTAGTTCCGGATTGAATCCTATGGTTCCGGATTGGAACCGATCCGGACCGTATACAAATAGTCTATATTTTTATTATACACCCTCCTGCATAGTATCTTCTCTTATTTCATATAAAACTTAAATCCAAGCCTAAACTTGCATGGTATCTTCTTTTATTAATTTTGTTTGCTAGTTTTTAGTGTTAATTTGTAATAGTCTAAATACTTATGGTGGAACTAGTTTCTTTATGGTTGTTTAAATTCTAGAACAGTTTGTCGCTATTATGAAAAGACATGTTGCTATTGTGAAACTAATATTGTGCTATATTTATATTTTTATGAAAATAAAGTGTTATATATATATTTTTGTTATTTAATTATATAAATCCGTGGTCCTAAACCGATCCAATCTGTATTTAAATGGATTGGTTTGGATTGGTTCCACGATTTAAACGGATTGGATTGGTTCGAATTTTTCAGGATCCGTAGATAACGGATTGGTCCTGGTTTTACTCCAATCCGGTCCAATCCGGACCATGCTCACCCCTAATAAAATTTAGCATTATTGATTAACTTTAAATTGATACCTATTGTGAAAAACAATTTTCTTTTTCACTAGTTTAGAGCATCTCCAACCACATTCTCTTCTCAAAAGGATGAAAATAATATTTTTTATTCAAAAAATAAATATAGAGGAGGTCACTATTCATTCAAACTCTAACCACAAACCTTCATTTCCTTCATTCAAATTCCAATCAAAAAGTAATTTTTGTTCATTAATAAATATTTAATTTTAAAATTTTTGTAAAATATATTTAATATTATACTCATTTTAAAGGTATGATTTTATATTTTTTATTGATGTCATTTTTATAAAAATTAAATTTACACATTAAAAGTTATTTCAAATATAATTAAGAAATATAGAGTGAATAGTGTTTTAGAGTCTCTTCTATTTTTTCATCATCCCTCTATATTTGGAGGATCAATTCATCCTCCTCCATTAGGATATAGAGGATGGGTTGGAGTTGTTTTTGGGAGAGGATCCTCCATATCAATATGGAGGATGGGTTGGAGATGTTCTTATGTCGGAGTATATGAATTGGCCAGTACTTCGCATGGCGGTTGATATTTTTAGTGGGTGTTTAGAATTTATTCTTTTATATTTTTTAACTTTTTAAAGAGAAAAGAATACTAATCAACAAAACTATATAAAAATTACACATTATGCATATGGAACGAGGCAGATGGTGTGGGGCTCATACTCATGTCAATAATATATTGTTTATTCAATAATTTTGATAGTAAATAAAATATTTTTCCAAAAGAAAGTGTTTTATAAATTGTTAAAAAAATATTTTTTTGGCAAGTGAAAGAGTTGATATAATTTTTGACTTTTTAAAATCATGAAAAATAATTTAATAATTTGTAAACTTTTTTATTTTTTTTTATAAATAAAATTGGCATTTTTGTATGTGTCCAAACACCCACTTAAAATCATATCCTTCCTTTCCTACCAATTGAAAAATGGGAAATAGACCCTCGTAAATGTGCATGTATGTAAATAAATATGATTTTTGTATAGAATTCTGGAATAGAAATTTTTTTTTATTTGAACGAGAAAAAAAGGAATCTTTGTGAGGGCATCATAGCTTCTGCAGGCTTGGCCTCTGTATAATTGGTTGACAGTTAGATTTAATTCAACTCATAGGAAGGGACTCTCTATCGGGGTAACCGTATACTCTACCGGGATAACCGTATACTCTACACCCATTGCACAAGGTGATTGACAACTAGATTTAACCCAACTCATAAGAAGGAATCCTCTGTCAGGATAATCGTGTGCTCTACACCCATTGTACAAAGGTCTTAGGGATTTGCGACAGGAAGATAGTATAGTTATCCGAAGAAAGTTGTGCCCTCAAGTTTCGAACCTAGACATCTTGTGTGGAAGGAGTGTGTAGAACCACTGGACCAAATTGTTATCCCTATAATTTCAAATTGTTCTTGATTTATTTTTTATATAAATTTTATGTTTATAAAACATAATTATATATGGGCTGTGCTACATCCCCCTAATTTGGGGAGCCCTAATCCCCCGAAAATTGAGACCAAGGCAAAAAAAAAAAAAAAATTCCCCAAAACGACGTCGTTTTGGGGATTAGGGGGATTAGGGGGGTGCTTTTTTAGGGCTCCAAATCATTTCCCATTATATATATAAATATATATGATTTTAAATTGAATTGAATTGAATATGATTGTAGGTAAACGTTGTTACAAAACTGTACTGGGGTGATGCTAGAGAGAAGCTTTGTGAAGCTGTTGAAGATCTGAAGCTGGACTCTTTGGTCATGGGAAGCAGAGGACTTGGCCCCATCAGAAGGTACTCTCTCTCTCTCTGTTACACATATATTGATGGGTGTGTTTGATTTGGGTTGTTGAGGTTGTTGACGATGATGATGATGATGATGATGATCAAACAGGATAATATTGGGAAGTGTGTCAAACTATGTGTTGACAAATGCAGCTTGCCCAGTGACCATAGTCAAGGACTCAGATTTTCACAAGAACTGATCTACAAAATTGAAGAATTTATTTTCGTATCTCTACATACAGTAGTTTCCTTTTTCTTGCTATATATGAGTTCTGTATTTATGGGGTTTTCCTATGGATGATGATAATTTTATTTTTAAGACTAAATGGGAATTAATGATCAAACACTCTGTATTTGAGTAACACTTGTGATTTTGGTTTGGCTAAATTCTCTCAATTAGTATATTTTTCCTTTTCTTGGTTTGTAGATATCTTCTTTGAGATTTTATTCATATCCGAACTTAACAACAAATATTCATATCCGAACTTAACACGGCAAGGGTGGAGGAGCATGTTCCCTGTCTTTTTGTCTTTTTATTGGATATGAATATCTCATTAGGTTTGAAAAATTGAGACATTCATTAATAAGAAAATTTAAATTTTTTTTGATGAGTTTTAGGCAATAAGATCATTCACTTAATGATTGAGTCATCTCTAGGCATCCACCTTCACTTTGAATTTATCTACGATTTATCATTATTTCTAACCAAAAATAATATTAATGACGTTAGTTGATCTCATCAGCCAGTAAAAGAAAAAAAAAAGTTTAAGGGCAATGCTAGAGACTACTAAAAATGGTGCTCTAAAGCGCGTTAGGATCCTCTATAGTGATCCCTCTAGAGTGATCTCCTAAAGTAAAAGGGATGGGCGCGACACCTGTCCCACTTAAAAAACTAAGGGTTGAGATCAATCCCTCACCAAAACGACGTCGTTTTGGTGAGAGAAATTAAAAAAAAAATAATTTCAGACCGTCGTCTTCGATCTCTTCCTGGGTTCACTTTGGAAGACAGCCTTCGTCTTCGATCTCTTCTGCCGCCGCCGCCATTCACACCGTCGTCTTTGATCTCCTTTCCCCCACCCCGATCGCCATCCTTTCCCCCACCCCGATCGCCTACCGCTCACTTTTCTTTTCCAGATTTTTTCTTCTTTTTGTATCAATTCGCGATCCCTTACGTCCCTGTTTGGGTCTCTCTCCTCTCTCTCCCTCTCTCTCTCTACAAGTTCCCTCTCCTCCACTACCCTGCAAATCATTTCTAAACTCAACAACAAGAACAGAGATTACTTTGAAACCGGGTGTATTTAGGCAAATAGGTGTTGTTTCCACCTTGTGGAGGCAGAAAAGAAGCAATCTTGGGTCTGTGACACTTGGAATATCAGTTTCAGGTGGGGAAAATGGTGGGTTTCGAAGCTCACAAGATGGGTCTTCAACTATGGAAGATAAGGAGGAGGAGGGCCTTCTGTTGGGTGTAGAGAGGGATGATTCTGGCTCTGTTGTTGGGGTTCACTTGATTCTGGTCTGAATTTTTTTTTTTTTAATTTCTCTCACCAAAACGACGTCGTTTTGGTGAGGGATTGATCTCAACCCTTGGCTTCATTAGTGGGACAGGTGTCGCGCCCATCTCTTTTACTTTAGGAGATCACTCTAGAGGGATCACTTTAGAGGATCCTAACGCCTCTAAAGCAACCACTAATGATGTAACATTCTTTTTTTTAATAATAATAAAAAAAAAATAGACACAACAGTATTGTGACAGTGGGTGAAACCTACTACCACATCACTAGTGATGGCACTAATTAGTGCTCCCACTCATTTTTCTAAACATAAATACATAAAAGAGAACGGTTTCCGCAATTTGACGATGTAGAGTTTTATTTTCCTGGCAATTTCACACTACGAGCAGCAAAGGCAACAACATCAATAAATTAAAGAGAAAAGAAAGTGTATAGAAAAATCGATGTGCGAACCAATGTACACTTTTATGTGTACTTTTTCGTGCACGATGCTTCGTTATTTCAAGGTGAATATCGAGAGTTTGTTTGGGATGTGAGTTGGTTTTTTTAATTTTTTTATTATTTTAGTTTGGGATTAAAAAATCTCGTTTGAGATAGGATTTTTTGGCTTTTTTAACTTTTGTGAAAAAAAAAAAAATGATTATGGTTTGAAGGTGATATTTTGTCTTATTAGACTAAAAAACCTATTTTACTTTTCTGTGATTAAAATAATCAAAAAAAAAAAAAATCAAAAACCATGCCAAACGAAGGCTGAAAAGGCTAGTAGGGGATCTCTGGGAGGCAGACTTTATTTGATAACATTGCAGTTGACATACTCGTCAACCCATTTGCATGAAGTGGGAAATTTCTCTTTTGTCAAAAGCTCTATACCCACTGCTTCGTCAGTGACTCCAACCCAAAACCCTATGATGCTAGCCGCAATGTCTAGAAGACCAATGGTTTCTTACCCTCCTTGAGTTGACCTTTGAGCAGTTTCAGGAGCTCCCGAGCTTCTTCCATGTCTTTCTCTTGTTCCCTGTCTTTACTTGAGCAAACCTTCCAAAGCTTGAATTCAATGGAAGGATTCAGAATGTACCATTTGAGCCATGGTAGATTTTTAGCCCAATCCTAGCGTATATATATATATATATATATTTTTAACTTTATTTTATCTATCTTCATTGTTGATATGAGAAGTTGGTGTGCAACTTAAAAATTTGCGGCTTTATGGAAAGATAGGTTCTTGGGCGATGACCTTAATGATTTAATGGTTAGACTAACATTGCCTAAAATTGAAAAACTTAGGGAACCCAAAGAAATATCTTGAAAATTTGATAAAAAATAAGGTGTGTAATATAGATTCAAACTTGGCGTAATATTTTCGCATCAAAATGAATTTAGTTCACATAGATTTTGAATTTTGGTAACTTTCCCGGTCTCCCTAGCATTGTTGGTCTAAATTTAGGAGGTCAAGATTGAACCTAATTGGGCTCGGCCTTAGGCCTCATTTGAGAAGTGACTTTTTTAAGTAAAATATAAAATTGTTTGGTTCTATTTTTTAAAAACACTTTTCAGAAAATTTTACTTTCTTATTTTTCGTATTTTTTTTGTTTTTATTGAATTTTTTTTTAATATTTTAAGCAATTTTTTTTTTACTTTTTAGACACACCTAACATAAATACACCTAAAAAGTAAAAAAAAAATGTAAAAAAAATCTTTTAAAAATTCACTAAATACCAAAAATACAAGAATTCAGTGCATTTTTTGTATTTTTATGTATTTATTAATTTAAAAAAATATTTTTTTTATAAATTTTTTACTTTTTAGATACGTCTAAGTAAGGTGCATCTAAAAAAGTAAAAAAAATGTTTAAAATTTTAAAAATATTCACTAAAAACAAAAAAACACGAAAATCAAAAAAATTAATTTTCAAAAAACTTAATCCAGAAAACTCAAATTATACACAATATATGTTTGATTTTTTTTTTTGATTTTTTACATAAAGAATGTGCAAAAGTATGGTGAATGAGAATAATTTAATTTTTTTGTAAACTTTTTGACTTTTTGTTTTAAATTTTCTTTTATAGGTAAACTATATATTTTCTTCCCAAAGAGACCCAATACTAATTGAACATTTTTGTTGACCATTATTCTGCTAGTAAGTAGCAAATCTGCAATGGATATGAAATGTTCAATTGGTCATTAACATTTCATCTGTATAAACATTAAAAGAGGGTTACAACTTCATAAATTTTGGAATTATGAGGTTACCTTCTATAATAGTCACATCCTCGATCCGTAAGGCTAAGTTTGGCAACTAAAAAATAATCCATCTTTTTATCTTTTTTCCATTACATTACCTTTCTATTTTTCTATACATCTTTTCGTAAAAAGACAAAAAGTACATTTATTTAGGTCATTCTAAACAATCCCTAAATCTCTCTATCTTAAAGAATTTTCAGCTGGACGATATAATAAAAATCTTGAAACACAAAAATCTAAAAATATGATTCTACAATTAAAAATGCATTAAAATAAAAAAATTGAAAATTTGAGTACAAAGGATCTCATACTAGGAAAAAATATTTAGTGTCACAGGTATATATTATGTCACTTATAGATAAATATTTTAAATAAGTGTTACATACTTATGTACAGGCGTTTAAGTTATTAACAACATTATCTTTACATTAAGTATTAATTTAAAATTATTACTAGCGAGTAAAATTTTATCAGTACAGAGGATCAACAAAATAAATTACTCTCACTGACCTTGAGATATATGCATGAATCACCTGTATTATACTTTCTCTCTCCTCATACTAGACTTGCCAAAACAAAATTGCAAAATTTGTTTTAGGCCTTTCAAATGAACTTGATATCCAACCAAAACTAGATAGGGGACTATAAAATTAAGAGAAGAAAAGATGTAAACATACCTTCTCATCTATGAACTTGGCCCAAAAACGAGCCATGGCTCTCTCATAAGGATCTTGAGGCAAGATGGTAGTGCCTTTCCAGGTCTCATCAATGTACTCAACAATGAAAACAGACACAATAATGGGTTTTCCATTGTGCAAGAGCACAGGAATCTACTGGTGAATAGGGTTGTACTTGAGAAGAGGACTTTTGTTGTGTATATCTTCTGCTATGAATTCATATTGAACACCCTTTAGTTTCAGAGCTATCTCTACTCTGCAACTAAATGGGCTTCCACAAACTCCAAACAACATCACTTCCTCTGCCATTACAATAACATTCTTCTTGATGTAGTATTTTTTTGCAAGTTTTAGAGGTTGGGTTTTCTTTACTGACTTGGTGGATTGGATTCTTATAGATGGACCTTCCTTGGAGTAACTTAGCCACCAAGATGTTTACCCAAAAAAAAAAACTTAGCCACCAAGATTACATTTCAATTTGATATTGCATAAATGATAAAGCTACATAAATTTATCTGTTAAAATAATGGGATTTATATTTAAATAAAACTTGACTATAAGTTAATTTTTTTTAATAAATTTCTAGGCAGAAATTTTAAAGAAATTTTAAAGAGTGTTATTTTTAATCCAAAAATTAGACTTATTTTTTAAATTTAACGAGGTGACAGTCGATAGAATATCTAAGACAACTCTTCCACTCTCTTATCTGTTCTCATCATTAATCAATCATTATTTTTACACATCGCTAACATTAAAAATACAAATACACCCCCTGAGATTGTGGTTTTGAAAATTACATTCCACCCCTTAAGGTTTTTAATTGCATAACAAATTATCCATTTTATTAATAAATCATCAAATCAATTAACAGTTTAATGATATTAAAAATATGTTTCAATTAATAATTTATGTAATTTTATTATTGAATAGGAGAGAAATTATGAATTTTATTTTTTTT